TGTGAAAGTACTTTTTACTTATTACCTCACAAAGTTACTGCCATGTATCAAATGACTTCATAGACACAAAAGGGCTCTGGGCCTAAAGCTCACTATAAAAATGTGTGGAACCTTTCCATCACTCCAAATTAGTAGTGCTTTGCTCTACGTAGTATCTGCCAAGTGACTATCATAGTTAACATGCTTAGTTTTCCAGATGATTCTTTTTGCCATTTGTATTCCACAGGGTGGCTGAATTTACAAAGATTCAAGAATTTACCTTAAAAATGCATCACACCAACTATAAAATGTTCACTAGCAATAAAAGTCTAACTATATAAAACATGACCACTAACACAAATTGTCCAAAAGCACAGAATTTTAAAGCTCAAAAACACCACATTGGTTGCTGTGGAGTGTGACGTGTGCAGAATAGAAGTGCATTGTAGAGTCCATTAGCACCACCAAGGAACTAACGACTAACGGTCATCACAGAAATCTTACAGTTTAGCCTTCCCTTTTTAGGAACTTCAAAAATGAGACTCGGCATAGGCTGTAATTTATCAAAAGATCACACTTATTCCTCATCCAGAGTTTTTAGATTCTCTGAGAACTATTATCATAGTAAGCCACAGTCCCTATTTAAAAAGTCACAAAGTGACAATCCACTAAAGAAATGCTGAGCTAAAAGGCCTGGGTCTTTTAAAATAAATGAAATTGTAAACTAGAATAGTATTTAGACTTTAAGGTATCCCACAAAAGACTGTAAAGGCCTCGGAAACCCTATACAGGGTTGCTAGGAGTTGAAACTGACTTATGGCACTTAGCAACAGAATTGCATTATTAACCAGTAAAGATGCCTGGTCCATGTTTAGTTTAAAATGGGAAGGTGTGCTGCTTACACTAACTCAGTAAACCACTGTTGGTAAGAGTCACGTCAGTTTGACTCATTAGCAACTCTGTATAGCGTTTACTTCAACTGGCTGGTGGGTTTGAACCACCAACCTTGCAATTAGTAGTCTAGTGCTTATCTTATAGCACCACACCAGGATCCCTAACTCAGTATAATCATTAAAAGAGGCTGCCAATCTGCTATAGTTGCCCAGGATCATTTTCTAAATTATTTATCATCTAATATTTAAAAAGGGGATATGGTAGAATAGTGGTTACGAGTCAGGCTGCTAACCTCAAGGTCAGCAGTTCGAAACTACCAGCCATTCCACGGGAGAAAGATGCAGCGTTCTGCTCCCGTGAAGATTTACAGCCTCAGAAACCCTGTGCAGGGTCACTATGAGTCGGAACTGACTCCACGGCACATAACCGTGACCACCAATGTTAAAAGTCGTTTTGTATTTCTTGAGTACAAACTGACTAGCGAGTAAGAAAAAGCAAACCCAGAATTATGTAACTGTCATACAAAATCTATCTGCAGAGAAAGAATTGTCTGTTCTCTACATAGCTAATTTCCTGACATTAGAGACACTATTACTTCTAGTTAGACTCCTGGATTCTCTGTTGATGGCTAGTACCACAGAGTCCTGGTGTAGTGCTGTGCGATAATGCACTAGACTGCAAGGTCGGTGGTTCAAATTCATCAGCTACTCTGCAGAAACCCTATATAGGGTCACTATGAGTTGGAACTGACTTGGTGGCACTTACCACCACCACCAACTCCAGGACTCCAAACCTGCCTTATTCCATAGGATGGGGGAAAAAAGTTAAGGTCAAATCAATTTGGGAAAAGAGGGCCTAAAAAAATATGTTTGCTTTCAAAGGAGGACTTCACAAAGCCCCTACTGGTCATACACATTTTCACCCTCAGGAGTATAGATTGTAGCATTTTCCAAACTCATTCAATGAAATTGTTTTGCAGAGCATCTTAGGGGGGTACACTTTGGGAACTGCTTTTCTAGAACCAAATGGAGTCCATGTCCATGGCATAGCCAGTAATGCAAGGGGGCTTGTATTAATATAGTCATACAAGGGGGGCTTCAAAAGGGTCATGGGAAAATTCCATTATCTTTTCATTTCATTTTTCTAGGAACTTTTTGAAACCCCCTTGTCGAAGCTCTTTTCCAGAATCTCAACTAGATTGACTGTTCCATAGCTATCTATCCACATCCACAATGAACCAGTTTATAAGGCGAAAATGTAAAAAGCAATCTTGTTAGCAACGGAGTCTTTCCCTCTTCCTACCTTTAGCAACAAAAAACTATTGGACTGGGCTGAATCTCCTAGAACAGCCCTATAGTTCCCTATGCGTTCTAGATGCACAGAAGGGCTAGGCCTATGCTTTAAACCCTTGGTTTTCCTAAGATTCAAAAAGCAACTATCAAATGGTGGATGATACAATTTAAAATGATAATCACCCACATATTTTTGATATTTAAAAATCAATTTTGATATATAAAAAAATTTTTTCATACAATCAATTTTCCAAATTAGACTCATGAAACCAAACTGCCACTGGATTCCTTCCTGCTTGCTCTCCACCTTCAAAATTGCAGATGTTGTCCTTGGGAATAAGGGATCAGATTACTACCATACTTCTCAGGTCACCTCATTCCAAGGCAGATATTATGAAGTGGCTCTATTTTTCCCAAGAGAGAGAATTACATATTGTTGAAGCCCAAATCATGTCCTATCTGTAACACACCTCAGACTAACCACAGGGGGTGTTACTGACAGTTGCCATTCAGCTCATGGTGACCTCATGTGTCCAGTGGGTTTTCAAGGCTGTGAGTGACCTTTAGGAGTTCTGCTGGGGCAGTGGGGTAAGTGTTGGGATGCTAACCACAAAGTTGGTGGTCCAAACCCACCAGCTGCTTTGCAGGAAAAAGATGAGGCTGTCTGCTCCGGAAAAAAGTTAGTCTCGAAAACCTTGTGAGAGCAATTCTACTCTGTTATTTTATAGGGTCACTAAGGAGCTCTGGTAGCGTAGTGGTTACGAATCGGGCTGCCAACCTCAAGGTCAGCAGTTTGAACCTACCAGCTGTTCCATGGGAGAAAGATGAGGTGTTCTGCTCCTGGAAAGATGAGCAGCCTCAGAAACCCTATGCAGGGTCGCTATGAGTCGGAACAGACTCCACGGTAATTAACAACAAGAGTCGGAACAGACTGAATGGTAGTGTTGGTGGTAGAGGTGGTGGTATCACCTTGGGGAAGCAGACTGCCAGGTCTGTCTTCCAAGACACCTCTGGGCGGGTTCAAACCACCAGCCTTTCAGCTAGTAGTGGAGCACTGAACTGTAAGTATCTTTCAGGTATTCCAGCAGGCCTGCTTGTTGCTGTAAGTCACCAAGAGTCAATGTCAATTCATGACTCATGGGAACCACTTACCCTATTTGAAAAAAAAAACCTGACAAAGTAAACCTTAGTCCAGTAGATGGCAACCTTTCAAAGGCTGAAGTTAAAACATTTCAAAACTACAACCCCTACCTCCCTTCTTTCCCAAAATGGCAAACACAGGTTCCTTTCATTTTGGTATTCAAAGAAGCTGGTCTTACAAGTTATTTAACATCATTTTTAAAAGTTCTAAGAAACAATAAAATGTATATAACACATTGCAAAATTGTTGATTCAAAAGCTATTTAAAGATAGAAATACTTGTCTTCCTAAATATAGGAAAAATTTGGTCTAACATTCTCATTTCCTTCTTGGTAAAAAGAAAAACACATTATTTTTGGCAAAGATAAACTTGTCAAGGCGATGTCACTTTTTGTTTTCAAGTTTTTCTTCATCTCTTTCAGGTAAGTCTGGTAAATGTGGTTGTTAACTACGTCAAGCAAAACAAATGAATAAACTCAAATCAGATAAATTACATATAATTTAAAAATTAAATATTTTCACAAAAACAAAGCAAAATAAAAATCAGTAAGCTATTATCTACTTTGCAGTACAGTGGGAGTTTTTTAAAACCTAAAAATAACCTGTTGCAGTGAAAAACAAAAAGCTATTTGGTTTTCCTTTAAAAGCACTGTGTGCATACATATATGTAGATATGTAAACAGCACACATATTTGTACAAGTAGTTTTTTGGGGGGTTGTGTTAGGGCTCCCCTGCCCTGTCAGGTTCAATCAAAAGTGAGGGATACAGTCTGTCAGGCTTTGTTGCTATCGTGGCCGGGTGCCAGCGAGTTGGTTCGGACACACAGGAAGCCCTGTAAGGCTTCCAAGGAGCAGCTCATGGGTCCAGTGCTTATCCTACAGAAACACACTACTTTGGAAGGACACAAAATCCTTACAGTCAGAACAGTGTTTTCAAACTGAATGATTAGCAACCAGCTAAGAGTGCAAGGAAAGGGAGCTATAAAACGTTTAAACGTTAACAATCAGCCACTGAAGCTCAAGCAATGGGCAAAGACAAGGCTGACTAAGGAAGGCTGGGGCTATGGGACGTTCTAAAGCAAATTTCAAACAGAGAGCAAGGATTGTGGGATGCAGGAGAACACTAGCACTTCCCACGAAGTTTCCCTTCATAAAGCTCATGGAAAAATTCCCCCTTCAATTCCATCTTCCCACAAACTTTCTGAAGCTCCCCGGTACATAAGCACAGTCAATAAGAGAACAAAGATGAGTGCTCTCTGAAGAACCTGTTGGCTGTTCTTGCTGTTTTATGTGAGTCTTTTACACTTCTTGGTAAAGATCATAATTAAATAGAGCCAAAAAGAATTTGAGAAAGGTAGATTTTGAAGGCATGTTTAAGTTTATAGAAAAGACAATAATTTTTACAACTCGAAATGTTCCAATACTGGATAGAACCTTAGAGGCTCTGAAGATAAATCAGCTGCGCAGGGAGATCTCCAAACCCAGAGCTGGACAGTTGATTTGAAGGAACCTGGAAATTATGGTTGTTTTTAAAGGTCCATAGCCCATCCACCAAACAATACACAGTATATGCAAAATAACTGCTAGAATGTGGCTTCTGAAATTTTGAGGGCAATCTTGTAAGATTTCAACATTTACATACTATCTTACTAATGAACGGTTTGGTTTTTAATCTTGTGCAAGATAATCCAAGACAAAAATACAGTTTAAAGTCTGCTAAAATTTAGGAATTGCCTTTAGCAAGCAGCCAAGCCAAGGCAGTGTTGCCAAACCCTCAGATTGAAATGGTTTGTCATGAAGGTGTGTTAATCAGACTGCAGTGAACTTAGTTTTGAATTAACAAGAATCTGCGTTATTGTTCACCTTTTCAAGAAGCGGCCTATTTAAATTTATCATATGCAGAAACAGAATTACAGATTTCAACAGACAAATAAAATATCCTCCATTGTTGTTTTCAGTTATTTCATTGGCATTGACTGTTTCCAGGAAATATTTCTGTCTCACAACTATCACAACAGTGTATGTGCTATCCAGTAGTGAGCAAGGTAATAAAGTCAAGAATAGATCTGATTTTCACAGTGCAATCACAAAAAGACAGAGACTAGAGAAAGATTGTCAACGGGCGAGGGTAGTGATCAGACTGGCACACATTTCAAAAAAATCCATGGTGTGACTGCCCAGACGAGGTGGAACCGAAGACAGTGTGCTCCCGGTCAAGGAGCCAGTGAGAGAGCCGGAAAGTGAAGGGCTCTCTGCAGTAGTGGAATCAAAACTTGATCTTGGTCTATGCAAGCCAGCAGCAGAACAGGAACGCTGAGGTGTTGAGGAACCAGACCTCTGCTCCACCACCTCATCTGAAAGGGACCAACGCACAATTATTATGAATGCTTTATTCGTCCAGCCCCTCTCTGAAACCGATATACTCAGACTACTAAGTTAAAATACCTGAAGAAGAGCCACTTGGATAAGGACATCATGATTGGTAGAGGGTCAGGGAAAAAGAGGAAAGCCTCAGCAAGATGAACTCACACAGTGGCTGCAGCAATGGCAAAGCGCAGGAGATACTGTGAGGATGGTGGACGGGGCAGTGTTTTGTTCTGCTGTACACATGGTTTCTATGAGTTATCAGAACTGACTTGATGGCACTTAACAAGAGCCACTTTATACTGAATGTCACCCATTTCAGTATCTTAAGAGCAGGAGTGGCAATACTCTTCCCTCTTGCCATCATAAGAGGCAACACTAGCCAATCACTACAAGACACACACATTTCCACACAACCAAAACATGGCCCTGGCCCCTAAGTCCTCAGCATAGTATTGGCCATTAACTTTGAAATCAAACCCTGAAGAAAGGAGACTCTTGGCTACTTATTTTCTTGCTGTATATCAATAAAAAGAACTATTAAGATCAAAGTGGTTCTGAAACTTCACAGCACATTGGAATTGGGAGGGAGGATCTTACTAGAACCGCAGACACCAAGTTTCCCAGAATCCATCTCCAGAAATGTTATTTTGATAGGTGTGGGGTGGCCATCCCCCAAATCTGCATTTTATTCAGACTGCTAGGTAATTTTAATGAAAGTAGTCTGGTAATTGACTACTTTTATTACTGATAAAAGTTCAAAAAGAAATTTAAATTTTATTAAAGTTTATAAAAATAAACTTTAAATACTCCATTTAAAGTTCCCAAATTCTAATTTAATTTCCACTCTTTTCCCACCAGCACCTGACCCTTGGTTCATTCTGTTTTTATCCTACTTGGGTCTCAGAACTGAGTCAATCATATTTTACCAGGTTTGACTCTTGGCACACAGTAAGTACTTGGGCATGCCTGCTTTACCAGAAATCATTTGGCTCCTAGATTACTATGAGTCTCAAGGAACCTCAACCCATATCCCAAAACCAGTGTAGCTGGTCTCTTTGGCCATCCACATGAGGGACGTGGAGGAAGAAGAATGCTTAAGTATTATAATGCTAACCAGAAGAGAATATGGAGAAACTTTCCGAGAGCCTGAAAACAGCAGTTAATCTTATATAAAAATCACTTACCTGTTGTTCCTTATTTACCTCCATAGTTAACACTTTAAATGACTTTTTTACGCAAAGGGCAAATTATATTCCATGTGTCTTTTGTTCATTTCATTTCACTTATATTTTGTTTACATGTAGATTACTTAAAAACTAGAAGACACACCATGCCTCTGCTATGATTTTAATACCTTGTTAATTAGTACCAAATTTTATCTTTTAAAGCTCATGCCTGCATAACTTCTTACCATCAATGCTTTTGAAGTCCAAAAGATAGCTTCTGTTATCAACCAGGTAAAGCTGTAAGCTCATTTTCACGTAATTGCCAGTCACTGGGTTCTTTCTTCTTACACGAAGATGATATGCATTCACCACCTAAAATGAGGAATTCTCTTTTAGGAAAAACAATAAAAATAACAAACTACAAAAGGTTTCCTTTCTTACTGCAAAATATTGTCAAAAACAAACAAAATACAACCGATAGAGGTGGAGTATTCCTGCATGATTCTTTTTAATGTGCACTTTGCAGGTACTGGTGGTGTGGAAGTATAATGCTTGCTTTGCCTGGGGGGAAATCTGGGCTTAATCCCTGGCCAATGATCTCATGTGCAGCTACCAACCCATCTGTCAGTAGCAGTTGTGAGTGGCTATGATGTTAAACAGGTGCCAGCAGAGCGTCCAGACTGAGATCTTAGGACTAGTTAGAAATTTCTGGTGATTACTTCCATAAACCAGCCAGTGAAATCCTACGAATCACAACAACCCAGTTCACAAGCAATCATGGTAACGGTGCAGGACAGGGCAGCGCTTCACCCAGTTGTGCATGAGATGGCTATGACTTGAAGGTCAGCTAACTGGAAGCTACAACAGTTTAGAATGAGGGGCTTCAACAGGTTCGTGGAAAAACTCAATTATTTTTTCAGTCAATTTTTTTACAGAAAATTTCTGAAGCTCCCTCACATTATTTAATCCTGTAATACTACAGCACTTTTCATGTAAGGCAATAAAAATTTAAATTTTTAGCATCCAGCTTTCATTCCAGATACAAATCTATTCTAAAACACCAATAATAATTCTGGTTTCCTGAGCCTTTGCTTGAACACGTCCATCTAAAAATACGAAGTAGAAGCCCTGGTGTGGTGCTATAGGATAATGCACTGGGTCTGCAAGGTCAGTTTGAGTCACAAGGTTGGTGGTTCAAACCCACCAGCTGCTCCTCGGAAATCCTATACAGGGATACTATGAGTCAGAACCGCCTCAACGGCACATAACAACAACAACAAATTAATTGTCTGTATCAGGCACTATATACCAGGTCTTGTCACAAAACTGAAGTACTGCAGTAATGCTTGTGACTGTGAGGTAGACATTAGTAGTCTTTTAAAGATGAGAAAACTCTAGCACAGATACAGGTAATTCTGAGTTCTCAAAACACTTAATAATTACTTCAAATTTTTTCCAGTAAGAAAAATTTAAAGAAGTCAGCATTTTTCTAAAACAATGAAATAAAACTGCTTCAGAAAAGGGAGATCTATTTTTTAAATGGTGTTAAGAAAATGTCTAATTAGTTCATCCCATGTACAACTAATGAAATGAAAATGACTGATTTGTTCACAAGTCATTATATCTACATGATACATTTGAATATTTTTCTTCTTCTTTACAAAACAGAAGAAATAGGAAAACAGTTTGTAGTCCTCAAGAAAGGAACAGGAGGAAAGAGGGTATCTAATCTGAAAAAATGCTTTCCTTCCTACATACATTCAACTAGAATTGAAATTAAATTGTGGGGTTTTGTTTATTTGTTAAAGTAAAATGTAGGCCTTGTAGGGTCAAGAAGGAGTCCTGGTATGGCACTGTAAGATAAATACCAGGCTACTTACTACCCACAAGGTCAGTGGTTCACACTCACCAGCCACTCCTCAAAAATTGTATACTGGGTAGCTAAGAATCAGAACCAACTTGGTGGCACTTAACAACAACAAGGGTAAGGAAAATATGCTAAGGATAAAAGTATCAGTCAAATAAGAGCTTTTCTCACCCTAGAGAACAGTATTTCTGACTGAATTAACATAGCCTGAGGATATCATCTGCACTGATCACTAGCTGTCAGTCACCAAAACAAACAAAAAACTCCCTTAAAAAAAGAAAAAGAGTGAAAACACCAGTGTGGTATGCCATCTGTGAGGCACACAGCCGTCGGTTTATTGCTAGGCTGCATGCTGAAACAAGTGGGCTATTTTCTCACTGTTTCCTGGTCAGTAATGCTATTTTATAATTCAAAATATGCAGGTCCCCCCCCCACATCATCAGGTTTCATCTTTATATAGGTCTCTTTCATTTGTTCTGAATGAACACAGTATATATTATTAGAAATAATGGGATTTCGATGCATTTGAGTTACGGTGTTGGAGAAGAATATTAAAAGTACCATGGACTGCTAGAAGAACAAACAAATCTATGTTGAAAGAAGTACAGCCAGAATGCTCTTTGGAAGCCAGGATGGCGAGATTTCATCTCTCATCCTTCAGACACATTACCAGGAGGGACCAGTACCTAAAGGAGGACATCATACCAGGTAAAGTGGAGGGTCAGCAGAAAAGAGGAAGAGCTGCATACTGGCATCAGCAAAAGGCTCAAGCTTAACAAAGACTGTGAGGATGGTGAAGAACCAGGCAGTATTTCGTTCTGTTGTGCATAGGGTCACTATGAGTCAGAAGTGTGACTCGAAGGCACCTAAACAACAACATCCACCAGAATTATCAAGACTATTCAATTTATATCTAAATCAAAAACAAAATTTTATTGACCTCAACACTCAATTCAGCAGCTTCACAGCTTACTAGATAGGAAAATGGCTTCAACAAATGATTTTCAAGCACCAAAATTTCCTACCTTCCATTCAAAATCCAGCTGTTTCATGGCTCGGTAAACTTCGGCCATAATGTCATAGGGTTTGCTTTGACTTCGAATTCCAAGATGCCATTTGGCTTTTTTCACAGCTAAAGATTTGGGCTTCGTGGTATTCAGCGCATCCAGTGGACATCTCGCTTTGGGGCTGTCTGCTATAAGAGGTGGCATCCTTTCTGGATGAGGTTTCAGGCCTGGGGGAATATGCATGGCACTATCATCCATAAAAGAACCAGTTGGGGGACTAGAGGCGAGGTAGAACTCACTGGCTTGGTTCATTATTCTCCGATTGTCAATGATAAGATGATAAGCCACGGCCAGCTGGTCTTGAGGGTCACCGCTATATAAACTGTTCATGACTTCTGATTCTGTACACTCAAATTTTTCACACACTTCTTTCACAGCCTCATCATCAATGACATTAGCATCATATGAGGGATCTTCAGGAAATAAGTAACTGGACAAATCTTGCTTAAACCATTCATGCTCTCTAGGAAAAACACCACAAAACACTATTGTAAGAACATTTGCTGGACAAGTCCTAAAGAATTTAGATATGGAGCAATAAAGCTTAATAGAATCAGAAAGACATGGTCTCTAGTTCTATAGTGCTAGCTCTCCACTTACTTGCTATGTGACTGACCCTGGGCAAATTAATTAACCTCTATTCTTGAATAACTCTGGTTACTCACACTTGGGTATTAAGCTGACAGGTTCTTGAAAATGAACAAAATAAGCCTGTCACTTAGTATTTGTTGCCAATGATAAAATTCAAGCTTTCAAGCAAAAAGTTAGAATTTTAGATAATTGCATCCACCCCCTTGAGCTTGACAGCTTCTCAAAACTTAAAGGCTTTTCTAATGAGGCTGACAGTGATCACAGTGAGTATGAGTTTCCGATATTGTATAATGAAATGTGTCATCGTATTTGCCAACGCACAATGTTGCAGAATCATGTGAGGGGGCCTCATGATGTTCACAGAAAACTTCCATCATCTTTCAATTTCATTTTTATACCAACTTTTTGAACCCTCTGGTGCATGGATAAAAGATCTATCCAAGATGCAAGGTAGACCAGTGGGTTTTAATACCCAATAGATTAAAGTTCAGTGATGTATTTTCTGATTTGATACTGCATCCAGCATGTGAAATAAGCTTGGTGGTGGTGGGGGGTGATGGTGGAAGTGTGCTGTCAACTTGGCTGGGTAGGGTTTCCAAGGCCATAAATCTTGATGGGAGCAGAAAGCCTCATCTTTCTCCCGCGGAGGGAAGCCAACTGAGAACTATTAAGTAAACACCAGAATGATTATAAGTTGACCAGGCAGCAAAGAGCTGAGGAACAAGTATTTCCAGCAAAACAAAAAATAACGTCTGCAGAGACTGTGAGACAAGAAGCAGTTCTGCCATTTCAAGGAACTGACCTAAGGGCAAGACCAAGTAGACTTGCTGGAACAAAGCAATACTCACAAAATGCTGAATAAAATAATGATTAATACATAACGACAATAATGAATTCATTAGTGTGTGCTTATTTTCTATGTCACAGGAAACACTGATAAGCATATGCCAATCAAAATAACCTGGTATGGCACTGTAGGATAAGCACTGGAAAGCTAACAGCAAGATCAGCAGTTCAAACCTACCAGCCATTCCTTGGAAACTCTATACAGGGTCGCTGTAAGTCAGAACCAACTTGAAGACATACAACAATGACAACAACCAAAATTACTCTGCTAGATATTAATTCTTTTTCAAAAGAAACAGCAGAAGGCAAGCAGTCGTGCTACGTGTCTAAGATTTTTTAAATATCAATGACGAATGGGGAAGATGAAGGCTTTCAAAATGAATTTTAAAAATCCATTCTTCTATAAAAGCAATTAAAATTCTGTCAGAAACTGTCAAAATAAACTTCTTAAGGTCTTTGGAAACTAAACAAAGGCTTGCAATAATCTATGGAGTTCATTTAGCAAGAAAATCCATTAAACAGTGACTTTTGTAAAAATTTTGACTTGCCTTATTCCCATTCCCCAGTAGGCTTGAAATCCAGTAGTCTCATAATCACCATAGCTGGGATTATGTTGTTGTGAGTTACATAGTAGGGCACTTCTGATCATAGTCTTTGTAACTCTCACCAAATGACTGAGTTGTTGATAAGTGCCGTCAAGTTGGTTCCAACTCATGTAACTCTGTATACGGTTTCCGAGGCTATAAATGATTGTGGGAGCAGAAAAGCCTCATCTTTCTCCTACTGAGCAGCTAGTGGGCTCAAACTGCCGACCTTGTGGCTTGCAGTCCAGTACTTATCCTACCAGCCCTGTTTCCCCAATGATTGAGTTGTTCTTATTAAGTGCCACTGAGACGGTTCCAACTTATAGCAACCCTGTATAAGGTTTCCAAGGAGCGACTGGCGAGTCTGAGCCACTGACCTTGTGGTTGAAACCAACCTTTTAGGCCAGTGCTTTACCCCACAGTGCCACACCAGGACTATGCAAATGTGAGGTGTTTGTGAATAATGTAAATGAGATACACAACACCCATGTGGTGGTAGGACCATACAGATAAGTCATATGGAATCCTAATGTGGGAATGGTTAGTTTTAGCATCCCAGTAGGCTTAAAATGACCCATCCCAGAGATGAAAAAGGGGATCTCACTACCATCGGAAAAAGGAGCATGAGGAGCATGTCCTTTGGACACCGAAACTCTTCGATCCAGAAGACAGAGCTGAGATACCTGAGCCAGCAAGAAGCAACAGCAGAGAGGTGGCAGCAACAGAGGCAGCAGAGCCAGGAATCCTGCTGGAGACAGCATGGTGGGCTTCTCAGCCCAGAGAATGAGAAAGCTGAGTGCCCTCTGGAAGAGTGGGATATTTGTTGGAAAGCTAGCTTTGCACCCCCAGAGAGCTACAGTGGCAACCCTTCAGTCTAAAGCTTATTGGTACAGTAAAGTGCCTCTGGACATTTATCAGCAGAGCTTTATAACATTTTCTCAAGCAGGGCAGAGGCCAAGGGGCTGCAAGATCTGGACCGGCCTGTGGATGCTGCTGATACAATGCCATCCTGATTAAAAGAACTGTATCCTGAGCCATTTCTGATCCTGAATTCTAACCTGTTACACTTCGCTAGTAAGCCCCCTGACTGTATTGTGTCTGAGTTCTATATGGCTTGTTGTTGTGAAGTGCCGTGGCATCAGTTATGACCCACTACGACCCTGTATAGGGCTTCCGAGGAGCACCTGGTGAGCTTGAACCACTGACCTTGTGGTTCAACCCGGCTTGGCAGTTCAGTGCATTAACACAGCGCCACACCAGGACTCCTCTGTATGACTACTGCAACAAATTATCACACCCACCAGAGAAACAGTACTATGGGAGGTTGGTGTAAAAGTTGGTCAGAAGTGTAAAAGCTGGTCAAAAGCATGTGTGACCTCACCTCATTGGAACTGGTCTTTGGTAACTGATGCTGATGAGCTTGATTTTCTCTTCTCCCCCAAGGCTAAAGGAGGTCAGTAACTTTCCCCCACTCCACTGTTAAACCCACTAACCGACTGAGGGTGAGGAATACAGAATAGATTTGGAGTTCCCCAAAAGTTCCATCTCCAAATAACTGTCATTATTTCACTTAGTTCAAATAGTCTGTTCCCATTTGTCAAAAGGAAACAATCAACTACATTTACTTACCACTGCACCTGCTTGGGGTAGCAATAACAGTAGGAACAATCAAGAAGTTGAAGGAAAAATTACAGAGTAAGAGTTACACAGAAGGTTTTGAAAAACTCATAAAATCTTAGGAACCCAGAAGGCCACACACAAGTGCAGGACTTCTGTGTCTGCCCAGGAATTATCTCACGACTAGCTGACTTGATGCTCTGTACAAGTAGGAAGTGAAGCCTGAGGCACAATTGTAAACTGCCTTCTCAAGCATTGAAGACATACTCCAGAATGTACACAGAGTCGCTCAGTAAAGAAAGAAGACTTACTAAGACAAAGGAACCACTGCCAAATCATTAGTTGATCACAAAAGTAATCAGCCACACACTTCATTGGTCACACTAAGTATACAGACTTAGGGAATCAGTTCAGGAAAATCTCTAAACACACAAACAGAGCAACAAGGAAATGGAAGATTTGAACAACAATATAAACAAACTATACCTAACAGACACCTATAGATGTTTCCACCTAACAAGAACACAGACACTTCTCAAGTGTACATGAAACAATCTTCAGAAAAGTCCCTATGTTAGGCCATAAAACATGAGTTAAAATCACCAAAGTATATTCTCTGAGAACAATGGAACAGAATTAGAAATAAATAACATTTAAATAGAAATATCAACTATCTGGAAAATTTACAGTATGTGGAAATCAATGAAGAAACAACAAGGGAAATGATAAAATACATTGAGAAGAACATAAACAAAAACACAAATTACCAAAATTTATGGAATACAGCTAAACCAGCTCAGAGAGAAAGATAGAGCTCTAAATGCCTATATTTAAAAACATGAACGATCTCAAATTAATAACCTAATATTTTACCTTGAGACAATAAAAGAACAAATTAAACCCAAAGCAAAGAGAAGGAAGGAAACCATAAAACTAAAGATCAAAATGAATAATATAGAGAAGAGAAAAACAATAGAGGAAATCAATAAACTCTAAAACGGATTCACTGAAACTATCAAAAAGACTGAAAGACCTTTAGCTAGAAAGAAAAAAAGAGGGAAGAATCAAACCGCTACAATCAGGAATGAAAGAAAGGACATTATTACCAAATTTACAGATATAACAAGGAGCTCTGGTAGCATGGTGGTTACGAATTGGGCTGCGAATCTCAGGGACAGCAGTTTGAAACTACCAGCTGTTCCATGGGAGAAAGATGACACTTTCTGCTCCCATAAAGATTTACAGCCTCGGAAACCCTGTACAGGGTCGCTATGAGTCGGAACCAACTCCACAGCACATAACCACAACAGGATAAGAACTTGACTGCTAATGACAAGGCCAGCAGTTGAAACCCACTAGCTGCTCCTCAGATACTCTATACAGGACTATTGGTCAGAACCAACTCAACAGCTCTTGATAACTCTGAACAGTATTATGCCAAATAAGTAAGATAAACTATAGAAAACAGACAACTTTCAAGAATGACACAAACTAAGAAAATGGACTCAAGAAGAAATAAAAAGTATGAAAAAACCTGTAACAGATTTAATTAGTAATCAAAAAACTTTCCAGTAACAAAATGCCACATCTACTTTCATTGTTGAATTCTACCATTCATTTAAAGTATTTACACCAATCCTTTACAAAATAAACCAAAAAAACAGAATAAAGAATATTTCCCAATTCATTCAAGGAGTCAAGTATTACCCTAATGCCAGACGGAACCAGGTATCATAAGAAAATATTACAAATCAATATACCTTTACTGGGCATATATATATGAATATAGATACAAAACTCTTCAAATAAAATTCTAACAAACTGA